GAAAGCAATATGCAAATTGCAGACCAGTGTGCACCTTGGAAAATTTTCAGTGGTGTGGAGAACATTATTTTAGAGGCACTGGAGTTTTAAGAGGTACGAGTCTACTGCAAATTCTCAGGTGGGGCAAACTAAGTCATTACTGAACTGATCAGTGCCTTATGGAGGGTTAGTTTAATGTTGGCACTTAAATGCTCACTTTCGAATAGGGAGTAGATTCTAAGAAATGTTCTGATCCATCATTTTTATGTGCGGCTCCCATGGAAGCCTCTTATTGAAGATTACGCCCAGTTATGTTATGTGGTTGACAAGGGGGATGCTCCATCCATTCAATGTAAGATGAGCCTCATGGGGCCCAACTCTATGAGAAAGTAGATGGCCTGAGTCTTATCTTCATTGATTTTTATGTTCCAGTGCTCACACCACATCTCAATAGCACTGAGATCTCATGGCAGTTTTCTGAGAACCCTCTTTGCAGTCTGTTGCAAAGATACAAGTGTCATCAGCAAACAGATCTAGATAGACACCAGGTGTTTGGAGCATATCATTCTTATATATACAAACACATTGTACAATGTAGGGGACAGGATAAAACCTTGTGGCATCCCTGCTTCTATATCCCTTGGCATAGACAATTCGTTTATGACAAACTCAGAATTTTCTCCGAGAATGAAAAGAGCTAATTTGCTTGATTAGTCTCATCGAAAATTTTACTTTAGGTGCTATGTTGTATCAAGGCTCTTTCAATATCCAAGAATACAGCAGCCATAGTCAAGTTACTGTTGAAATTTAAGGTTAGGTGGTCTGTTAGCCTCATACATTGAAGTGCCATGCTGTGACAGGCACGGAAACCAAACTGACTTGCGACAAGCAGGCCTCTTTCTTCAATGTGTCTTTGAACTGTTTTCATAATAACTGCCTGTTGTAGATGATGCTAATCAGACATACATTTTGAGAGAATTTGGGGTCCTTACCGTGTTTCAGTAATGTAACTTTTGCTTCCTTCCAAGGCTTTGGGAAATGGGGCAGCTGAAGACAGTGATTAAATAAATGTGTCAGATGTACCACTGGTCTTCTTGTTAGATGCCTGATGCATTCATTTTGAATACTATGAAGTCCATACGCTTTTCTCAATTGCAGTTAATTTGCTAATTTATTTATGTCACAAGGTCTTACACTTTCACCAGCTGGGTGTTCTCTTCAGATTCAAGCAGAGCTTGGACTCTAGTCTCTGTTGCTCATGGTTTTCTAAACAACCCACAATCATATTGGCTTTCTCCTTTGGGTGATATGTTATTCCTAAAGGTCCATTAATAGTGGTTAGTGCCTTTTGGTCCATCCCGTTACATAAGCTGTTTCACTTAGTCCACAGAACTTGAGGTGTCACCTCAAAGTTCCCTATTTTCATTTTCCACTGTCCAAATGCTTTCCTATGGGTCACTCTCTGTGTTTTCATGACCAAATAAACTGCTGTTTTACATGCTGGATCCCGGGTTATTTGCCAGTTTCCTTAACCTTGGCTTATGTTTCAGCAGACTCCAGACCAGGTAGGTCCTTATTAAGGTCTGAGAGTAATTTTGCTTGTTGATAGCCTGTACGCTGAAAATACAGAGGCAGCAAAGTCGTGGGCCACTTCTTGGATTTTAAGTGAAATCTCTGAATTTTTGAACCATGTCTGAGAGATTCTTAGTTCTAACATGATCCAGCAAGTAGAAAATGAGCCCAGAATGTCCGAGACAATGATTTCTGACAGCTGGACATTCTTGTGCACAACAGTAACAGGAACATCATTTCCCACAGGAGAGTAATGAGTGGGGCACTGTGGTGCTGAAATTTCAAACTCATTTATATGTGGTAAATTCAGTAGTTTTACACCTGAAGTGTTGGAAACTGCATTATTTAAAAATTGATTTTCAGTATTCAGATCTCCTGCCAGCAGCAATTATGTTTATAAATCATAGGAGCTCAGTAATGTCTGCATCATTCCAGGCCTGGTAACTTAGATACTATTACTAATCTGTATGCAAACCCATTGTCTTATATTGAAACAGGCAGAGGCAATTCTAATACTGTTGTAGAAAATGCCTCTTCTCACTGCAATGGCAGTTCCGCCTTTTCTTCCTGGGAAGTGATCAGTCTGATAGACGTGATAATTTGGAATAAATAACCTCTCATGGGGTTTGAAATATTTCTCTAACAGCAGAGCCACATCTATGTGCAAGTCTTGCAGGTGTTTACAGAGCTCATTGCTCTACCTCCAAATGCCATTTGCATTAAATACTATGACTTTGAGTGGTGTATGAACTTTAGCAGCCATTTTGTTTTAATTAAGTACCATTTTTGTAATGACCATTACTTTTTTTTTCCCCCTGACATCTTCACTGAACTCTGTCATGGTCCGTTGCACTAAAGTGGCTACTTTTAATGTTTCATTATTAGATGAACTGGGAGCCTGTACTTACAGACCTGTTTTATGAATTTTCTGTGGCAGATGCTGCTACAAGGGGTGCCACATGCTTTTCTCACTGTCTGCATGTGGTGAGTGTCTTGGTGCAGTGCAGCTGCATAGGACAGCTCAGGTGATGTGAACCTACAGAAGAACGTCCTCCCAGAGGAGCCCTTGGGAACTCTGTGCTCATCTCCTTTCGCATGGCTGCAGACTTGATATGATGCTGATGAGGTTTTTCTCCTTCTACGAGGGTGCAATTGCAGCAGCTCAGTGTAGATTATATACTCATCTTTTCAGGGCTTTCCCTATGGAGGTGGCCACCATTGCACCACAAACATCAAGAGGATTGTTTGCCGTTGGCCCAGACATGGCCAAAGTTTTGGCAGTTGTAGTACTGTATAAGGCAAGACTGAGCATCCGTTTAAGACTATTCAGCTTGAATATCTCTTGAGATTTTGTTTCTTACTAAGGTAACAAAGAATAGAGGGAGGGTTTCCTCGTGGGTTTGTCCATTGGGTGCTCATCAAGTTGCCATCATTTGTCTCACATTGATGACGTTGAAGCCTAAATCCTCAAGGTTGTCAGAAATATCTTCTGCTAGAATATCTGGGGGAAGGTGACGGATTATGTCCTTGATAGGCTTTTTGGAATTTGGGGAGAAGGTTAATTAGTGGAAATTATTTTTCTGCGGGTAGGATTTTATGGCTGAATCGGCCGACATTACTTTTTTATGGTATGGGTTCCATTTCTTGTATTCAGAAGAACTTATACTCTCCTTTGACGTGTTCTTTTAAATTGCTTTGCAGTTGAATGAGGTTCGTGGTAGAAGTCATCATTATTGGTGGCAGCCTACTGCTCCGGTAGTGTTTTCTCTGTCCAGTAGTCCCTGTATCCATGTCAGTAGTTCTGAGAGGTGTGAAGAAGTTATGAGTTAACACCGCGTTTGGAGGCAGCATGACAGCTGCAGATGTTGGCACTGGTTTAGTCGACTTCTTGACAATTTGTGAGGTATCATTAGAGATATGCCTCTTATATGTCTTGCTTGGTCTGGTTACACAGCCTCTGCACAGATCTTATACAGAACACCGTTTCTAACAATGGCTTTGACTACTGTGACCATTGCCTAGCAATGTCATGTGACGGTATTTTAAAACTTAAAACAAGGAAAAGAACTTTTCCTTTCATTCAGGTAAATATGATACTGAGATACAGCATTCACATCCAAAATTGTAGACAGAGAAACACATTTACTTACATTTGGCTTTGTGATTTAACCATTAACTCAATTTTAGATACAGTGACAAATTCAGTTCCTTTTATCGGAATGGTACAATTAGCTCTGTTGTGATATACAGTTATTAACATTTACTGTCATTGTAAACTCTGACTAATGTCTGGTACAGTAGTTATGTGGATAACAAATGTAAGAATAGGCCGATGATGCCCAGTTAGGCTGAAACATATAGGATACTGAACAAACATAAATGAATGACTGCATACCCAGCTGTGCTGGCAGAACTCCCTAATTTATTAAATGCACAACATGATACTCTGGTACATTATTTCAACAGTGGAGACATTTTTTATTACATTTACATTTAATACATTTAATCTCTTTCTAGAAATGTACCGATTCACTACTGAAATTTCCTATTTCATCCTTCTTATAGAGGTTGCCTTTAGATAAGTGAAACCATGTACAGTTGAAGATTATAAAGCTGTGAAATTACTATCAATATATATCTGCATATTATCCATCATCCTCTTTTTATTTAAAAGGCCATCCTGCTTTTATTTACTGAGGAGCTGAGGCAGTTGGTAGATAGAATTTCTTGATCTTGATCATTGTACTATTCATTTAGAAACACTGCGCTTTAGTTAGATTATAAAGGATTCAGATGGTGTATAACGCTCAGATTTACTGGCTTTTTGGATGTCCATAGTCTTATATTTTAAAAGACACAAAAGAACACAGTGTTTCCCAAACCGGATCTGTTTCCATCCTCAGATGAGGGGTGTGAGACCAGTGATTGAGGCCAGCTCTTTCTAATGGACCTAACACAGTAGGTGTCTCCCACCCCTCACCTGGGGATGGAAACAGAGCAAAATAATTCAACTCTTTCTAATGGACCCAACAGAGTTGGTGTCTCCCACCCCTCACCTGGGGGCAGAAACAGATCCAGTTTCCAAAATGTTGTGTTCTTTTGTGTCTTAGAATACCAGACAATGGACACATTCTAAAATCCAGGTAATCCTGACTGTACTTTAATGTACCAACAGCAATGGTAACAGTCATCTAAAATCATACTGATGTTTTCCTACTGCAGATTACATGGTGGTGAACATTTGTGATTACCTCCTTTCTTCGATGAAAGACAGTATAATACTTTAATTGTATTACATTATAAAACACTCGATTTTCGAAGGACAGCCACTTACAACAGAAACTTAATAATCAGAAAAATGCTATTTATTCTAGTTCTATAAGAGTTATAAGTAGAAAGCCTCTAGGAAAATAAAGTGTACCGACATTCTTTAATGACTGGAAACTTAGTCACAATAATTTTAGCTGCTTGGTTATTTGATCTACATGTGCAGATTTTCCTGGACCAATTCCCAATACAGTGACAGTGCCACTCTCAATTTGTGTCTTGCCTGCATCTCTTATTACAGTAGTTACAAGGCCTGCAGCTTTAGCTTTCTCACACAATTCAAGCAGATATTGTTCGCCACCTTCTTCAGCCTTCAGAACTATTTTTGGTTGTCCCATTAGTTCCCATGATCTCAGGGTTTTGGGGGAAGAATTTAGCATTTTCTGGTAACAACTAACTGCAGCATGAGCACATTGGGATGCTACCTTGCCTTTCCCAATTCCTAGATCTGTCCGAACAATAAATACTAACTTCATATTATGTTGTGTATCTTGGGCTAAGTTTCGAACAAATGACACCGTATTAATAATCCGACTTTTCAAGATCCATGCAGAGGAAAAACCAATAACCACACCAGTCATCAGAGTCAAATAGTCGAAGTGTCTTTCAGAACCCATTGACCAAGAGAATTTCAAACGAAAATCCAAATTAATTCTGCATTAATTTATCTTTCTTCATGGTGTACTTCTCCATGCATAGGCGGAACTCCTTCAAAACATCCTGACACTTCCTCCAGTCTTGATGTTCAACTATGCATTCCTGTATAAAGTTATAAAAAAGGCATTCAAATGATTTTTACTTACGCTGTTTTATGAAAAATTACAATTTGGTACAATTTATTTAAAACTATTAAGAAACGTCAGAACAAATAACAAGCATTATATAACTGTCTCAACACAATTAAATCCTATTGAACA